GTGACTGTCTAATTAGATCATTTGGTTTACATGCAGATGAACAGGTGTACCTGATAAATGTGTTTGACGCAGCTTTCCACATGACAAATACTCACAGAAAATAAACTTGTGAACTTTAAACTTACCCATTTGCGTCTCACACACATCAACTCTAATCAAAGTCTCAACCTACAGCCACACAGTGTACTAGCTGTGCCGTAAGCTGGCTGCAAAACATCTGAAAGTAACGACAGGCCACAGCATCCTCCACCCAAATTGTGCAGAGATTAAAAATTCCCAAAAGAAAGTCATCACAACTTTCTTTACTGGCTATTTACTTAGTAGGTACTCGCACAGAGGGATGAACTCTTAACAGCAAACAAGCTTAAAAAAAAACAGCTGCTGGAGCTTAAGGACCCAATTATTCTCAGCCTCAACTGCTCTGAGGATCTGATAATAACAGAGCATCCAAAAATAAATAAATTAAATGTGTTAAGTTTCATCATCTGCTACAGTACATACAAGAAGTGTAGAAGACATGTGGAAAAAGTCCAAAAAGGTTCATTATAAAGCTGATGGTTTGAATTATATCGCAGGCTATTATCACATGAATAATTGTTGGAATATCTGCAGTAATGAGTGCAGCTGATTAAGTAGTGCATCATTGTATCTGATCTCTGGCAGATATGAAAAGAATAATCTTCAAAGGTACAGTATGAGCTCATTGTGGTGACGGATTCAAATGAATGAAGTTAACTCCTCCATGCGCCGTCTTCCCCCGGTGTATGTTTGGCTTCCAGGTGATACCTTTCTGAGATGAATAAGCTTTCCATCCCATTTTGTTACAGGGGCTGATGGCCTTTGGATGAGCGTATGGCAATCTTTTCTTCTAAAAGCATATATGAATGTTCATGAATAAAGATATTATTTTAATACATATCAGATCAGGGATAACTCATTCATAGTTGAGGTGTGTGATTAGATAATTATTACATCATTTGACACAGAAAAAAAATCATAATTTCTCTCTTGTTTTCTTTCGTTTCACGAAGGGAAACCTCTCCTGCTCATGCATAATTTAAAAGGCTTGATTTAGAACAAACTGCTGAGTTGCCCTATTTGTGATTCATGAAAGTATGGGGCACTATTTGATTTTGGGTTCAGTACATAGACAGAAAACAAAACCTGCAGGAATCTCGCTGGCGGGAATGAGCTATTCTCAGAGCAATGTCTGCAGGTATCATTATGCTAGTAACAGTTTGGCTTGGTCCTTGACAGCTGGCAACACATTACCAGTGCGTTCTCACAGTCAAAGTGAATTAGCAGCAAACAACACCGAACCACAATTTGCAACATTCAAAATGTGCTTCTAGCAACAAATGGATGAACTAAAATTGATGTTAATGTGTTCATAAATTAGTGCATCATTATGCATGTAGATAATTAGCATTAGTCTGGCCAGTTAATGCAAAATGTTTGGGCCGAGTAAATAGTCTTTACTGCTTGGTTTGCACAATCCTAAAAGATCCTAAAAGGACTACACATACACCAACTTCAGCTTATTTCATTGTATGTCAGTGACAGGCCAGCTGTTACATTCCCCATAGCAACTAAAAGGATTGCTTGTCACCATCTTCTCCTGGTCTCGGGAAACAGAGATATAATTGCTTAATCAATAAGAAATTGCTTAAGCCCAAAATAGAGGATGAATGAGAAACACGTCCTTTGTGATTTTTTGTGAAATACCAAACGAGGAAGGTGGAGGGAGGGGGGTCCAATTGGTGATCAACACAAAAACAGCTTGAGGCTCTCATTTTTTCTCCACTATGTTCAACAACAAGTAAGCAGGGGTAATACAAGGCTCCATTTTCAGTAGAGAACACTTCTCTGAAAGAAATAAAAGAAAGATGGATATGAGGTGACAGCTGTGGAGTCAGGTAACATATAACAGCTTGTGCAACTGTTGCCAGCACTGAAATACTATGTGATATCATTTTTGATATTTTTTTTAGCAAATCTTGCCACATTTCAGTAAAACACAATTGTTGCAATGTCTGTAAGACTTTCAGTCACTGCTCATTTGCATATCTCGTACCTGGCTGGGTTTCTATGGACCAACGCAAGCACAAAACAAATCTAGTTAAACAACTGCTTAAAATTAACTTTAAAAAATGTAAACAACTTCTTATGTGTATCTCTTAAGATTTTTGCATTGATTAACTGCATGTAGTGCAGGCCAAATATATACATTTTTATATTGTCTTAAATGTTTGTGTGCATGCAAAGAC